GAGCCAGAGCGGAACCCAAGGCCCGAGACCGGAACCCGCGGGGCGTGTTTCCAGTGCGGTCAGGAAGGGCACTACAAAAAGGACTGCCCACTCATGGACTGCATGTTCGGACAAGGACCCGCGGGGAAGGTAAAGGGGGGTAACTGGAATAGAGCACAAATAACGCATGGGATACGGGTGGACGGACGGTGGGTGAGAGCGGTGCTAGACTCAGGATGCGGCCAAACGATAATAAGGGCCAATGTCGTTAAGCCCCGTAAACCTCTGGGCCTCCGGGTGTACATGCGGTGTATCCACGGGGACATCCACTCTTACCCCACAACACGGGCGGTGATCGACAATGGTCAGGTGAAAGGTACTTGTGAGGTGGCAATCGCGCCCAAACTAGCCTACCCCGTATTACTAGGAAGAGACTGGCCGGGGTTAGCCCGCTTACTGAGTGACTGGGGGCGGACGCCGGAGAACCCGAAGGGGAAAGTACACGATGGGCAGGTCCTAGTGGCCCACGGAGAGGAGGTGGCAGGACCATTGACCGGGACCGGACCCCAGCTAGACGCGCAGGCGACAACACCCCACCTGGGATTAGATGAAGGGGACTTCGTGTCTCTACAGCGGGAAGACCCGACCCTCCGGAACGCGTGGGCACAGATAGGGGCGGCAGAGGGAAGGGGAGGGCAAAAGACCCCAGGGCCCCACTTTGAGGTACACCAGGACCGCCTGTTCCGCGTCACCCCCGGGGAAGCAGGAGGGGAGGAAAGGCGGCAGCTGATCGTACCCCGGCCATACAGGTGGAAAGTAATGGAGTTAGCCCATGACCACGCCTGGGTTGGCCACTTGGGAATTGAAAAATCGCAGCAACGAATCCTCCAGCGATTTTATTGGCCGGGGGTCTACCAAGACGTTAAAGACTTCTGTGCCTCTTGTCCACAGTGCCAGCAAACTTCCACATCCAAGGTACCTCCAACGCCCCTCATCCCTCTCCCCATCATGGGGACCCCATTTGAGCGCATCGCGTTGGATTTGGTGGGACCGCTAGAGAAGTCGAGTCGGGGGCATGCATATATTTTAGTCATTATTGATTATGCAACCAGGTACCCCGAAGCGGTCCCCCTGAGGAAGGCTACGGCCACCGCAATAGCAGAGGAGCTGGTAAGGGTATTCTCCCGAGTGGGGTTACCAAAGGAGTTGTTGACTGACCAGGGGACTAACCTAACATCCAAAGTAATGACTGAACTATGTAGACTCCTCCAGGTGCGGAAGCTCCGAACATCCGTTTACCATCCTCAGACGGACGGGGTCGTGGAACATTTCAACCGGACACTAAAAGGGATGTTACGTAAGTTCGTCACAGACGATCCCCGGGACTGGGATAAGCTGTTGCCCGCTTTGATGTTCGCAGTTCGAGAGGTACCCCAAGCGTCACTCGGGTTTTCCCCCTTTGAGCTACTGTACAGGCGACGCCCGCGGGGGATCCTCGACCTGGTAAGAGAGGGGTGGGAAGAACAAGTAACCCCGGCCCTTGGGGTAGCGCAGTATATAGAGAAATTACGAAGGAGCCTCCGGGGTCTGGCCGAAGGGGCACGCGAAAATCTCCAAGCCTTCGGGGCCTGGCCAAAGGGGCACGCGAGAATCTCCTGAAAGCCCAGGAGGGGCAGCGGGCCCATTACAACCGTAAGGCCCAGGCCCGGACGTTCGCACCAGGGGACCCCGTATTACTATTACTCCCAACGGGGGAATCCAAATTACTGGCCCGATGGCAGGGACCTTTCAAAGTGGTGCGGCAAGTAGGTCCAGTCGACTACGAAGTCTTAATCAATAGCAA